GTGACAAACTATTAAATTCGTACTTATTAAATATCTACTTTTTTTTTTTTTTTTTTTTTGAGATGGAGTCTCGCTCTGTCGTTCAGGCTGGAGTGCAGTGGTGCGATCTCGGCTCACCACAACCTCCGCTTCCTGGGTTCAAGTCATTCCTACCTCAGCCTCCCTAGTAGCTGGGATTACAGGCATGCACCACCAGGCCCAGCAAAGTTTTTGTATTTTTAGTAGAGACAGGGTTTTGCCATGTTGACCAGGCTGGTCTCAAACTCCTTACCTCAGGTGATTTGCCCGCGTTGGCCTCCCAAAGTGCTGGGATTACAGGTGTGAGCCACTGCACCTGGCCAATGTCTACCCATTTCACACGTTTAGGAAGTTCCCACAAATGTGAAAATAAAATATAAGAGCATTGTCTCTGACTTAGTGTTGCACAGCCACCACCAGCCACCAAAACAATAATATACCAGTGAGAATTAAGTTCTCATGTGCACATATTATACAGATGTATATTATGATAATCAAGTTCTCATGTGCACATATTATATAGATGTATATTATAATTAAGTTCTCATGTGTACATATTATACAGATAAATACATATTATACAGATGTATGCAGTAAATGGCTCCCTACTGTACTGAACAAGAAATACTAAGTTCTTGTGCTTATAGAAGTACAAAACATTATCACACAAAAGAATATCTAGCTGACCCTCAAGTAGCCTAGTGCTAACATTTAAGCAAACTTTGAAGTAGTTACAAGGTCCCTTAAATTGCATTATTTTATAGTTACCACTATATACTTGAGCACTTGATCTCTTAAAAAACTGATTATTACTATAACAGAGAAATTAATCCAGACCCTTAATGAACATGTTCAGAGATATAAAAATGGATAAGTGACATTTACTACACTTGAGGAACTCACAGTCTAGGTGGGAAAACAAACCTAGAAACAAATAATTAAAACAACCACCACAACAACTTAGAAGTACAGTGTTAACATGATACAGTCAATGTACTGCGATGACATTTGAGAACTCGCCTTGGGAGGGTAAGTGGAATGTGGGTAGATTTCCTGGAGAAACTGGCAACAGAGCTGACCCTTAAAGAATAATTAAGAAGTTGAACTGGAGTGACTAGAGAAGTTTTTGAGATTCTAGATCACTGGTTAAATATAATTTGAATACTTAATAATCACCTACTCTGGACACAATATTGTTTTAACTAGTATTAGGACAAAAATAACTGTAGGGTATAGTCCTTGCGTATAAGACAACTTACAATCTATTGAGGAGGTAAGGTGTATGCCTCAAATAAAATGCTGATGGTAGACAGCAAAGTGCAGATTGCAATTAGATAACGCATTCATTTGTTCATTTAACAAATATTTATTTTATATCTGTTATAAATATGTTATATACTCTTCCAGGCAGTGAGGATATGACATTGGACAAACACACAAGGTCACTGGCCTCGTGGAGGTCACATTCTAATGGATATTAATAGGGATTAATATATATGTAATATATGGGTTTAAAAAAATCATCATCGTCAATGTGTTTTGGGTAATAGCATTCCAAATCTTACCTCTGAAGAAAAGAATACAATCTGCAAATAGAGGACATCCTTAACCAAGAAATGTCATCAATAGAAAAACAGCTAAATAGTCCAGTAAAATCTTTGTATTTCTTAAAATATTCTGGATGGCAATTCATAACTATATTTTCCATTAATAGTCATCAATTTGAGCTAGTGTAAAATATTTATAGCAAATAGACTATTGTTTTCTGTTACAAGGCATTATCCACTCAATTTATTTAAATTTTTAACCAAAAAAGACATCATTTGGCAAAAGCAAAACAGATCTTCTAAGGATTCCCCAAATCCTAGAACATTATACATATTTAAATCTAAATATTTTAAATATACATCTTTGTGAACTTTTTGAGATGTGGAGACAGAAAACAGTAGTTCACAAAGCACAGGATGTGGGCTAAATGTTTCCCTGTCATAGAGAAGTAGGAAGAGATCATAAGAAAGTGACAAAGACACTGGGGCCAGTTGTATTTATTGTTACTTACCTAAGATCTGGTCACTCTCATGGAATTTACTATGACTTGCTAATAACTCTGAAAAGAGCTATATTATAGAAGAGATCAAACCCAGAAACACACCCAGGTGTTTCACAAAATAAAACTATGATGCATAGTTTTATTCATACCACTATAATACGATGCATATTATTCATACCACTCTTCCTGGTCTGAGAAGTCACAATAATGCTATCAACCTGCCTCATTTTAATCAACCAGTGATTATGGAAAGTTGATCTCTTTGAATTAAATCCATCACATCAAGAAAGCAGTGCCATAACAGTTCCAGTATTTATGGTAACCGACAAATCATTTGCCCCCTTGCATGCCTTGCTTCTCATCCTGTTCAGTTGCAAGACCAGAAAAGTTGAGGAAGGAGGTTTCCCTTCATGGAAGGGGATGCATTAATATAATTATCATATAGCTTCATTTAGCATTGATAACACATGTATTCTGCCTCAAAACCTTTCCTGATAGCAATGCCATGAGTTGCATAATAATCACTATGCTTTGATTAATTATTTTGCCAAATAAATGGATGAATTAATTTCACTTACATACACTGATAGCCTCAGTTTCTTCAGAGTATTGCTTCTACCTATGGCAACTACTTGGAATCAAAATAGAAGTAATATAAATTGCAGTACTGAGCATACCAAATAGTTACAGTAAAAAGATTCCCATTTCTATTATCAGAATCAATATATCACATGAAGTTTAGAACTTGGAGTGAAGAAAACTCCTAATTAAGGGAAACTAATGAAAGCCTTTAGCAAGTTCTTTGTTGAATGCATTTATTTGGTTTCTTGATCCTCCAACCAATCACATTGACAATGACAAAAGATATGCAAATTTAAACTGACAATAGTCAAGCCACACTGCTCTGACTCATACCAATAGGGACGTTTTCAGCATATATTCAGCTTGATATTTACACTTGAAAGGGTCAATGTAACCAAAGAACATTTTAATAGTTATTCTTGGCTATAATCTGAAAGCTATCCCATAATCATTGACCAAGAACAACGCAAACCAGAATCAAATTTATTTTGCAAAATAAATTAACATATGAAACACGTGCATGATTTAAGCCCAGCAGAATTATGTGTTTACCCTGTCACTGCTGAATAATTGCATAGCAACAAGAAATATGCATTACTATGTTTGAATCACTATTTTGATTATACGTTTTAAGCAAACAAAACATTACGTTTTTAGTAGAATAGATCATTCGGGGTAACTTGGGACTAAATTTTCCTCCCCATTCCCTCAAAGAATCCGGACTAATATATGATTGGATTCTTACTAAAAACTATATGGATGGTGTACTGAAGAATAATAACAAGCTATTCAACCAAAATCATTTGTTTACAATGGAAATAAGTTTTACCAAAGAAAAATACAAACATCCTATTATAAACTACTATTGAAAGTAGTGCCTAAAATTTAAGCTACAATTGAAAGAAAACTGAGAGTTCTGTTTGCTTTTTATTCTTCTACCTACCTACTGATTGCGTATTACAGTCCTATAGTCTGTAATAGAAAGATTACAATATCAGGTTTGGAAACTGTAGAACTACTAAGTTCCAGTTGATGTGTCGAAGAAAATAACAGTGATCTTAGTTCAGTCCCTAGTGGACAAAAGTAGAATAACTATTACTTGGCATGATTCAGCAGGCGATGACCTAAGCGAGTGTGACCACACAGGAACAAAATAGAGCATTTGTCCTTTCCCTATCTTTTATCTTTTTAAAGGGATTGCCTGGTTTACAGACTAACTTAAAGAAGCCTGATTGCATACCTATTTATATGTACCAAGTGAATCCATTAACGAGGGAGAGAAGCTTTTCACAAATTGGGACATTGCCTCCATTCTAGTGGCATAGTCAGTGGAATATACTTATTCTCGGCTGCCTATTATTAAACAGAGTGCAAAGACAGAATGAATTGCAGAAGTGTGTTCATAATTTAATGGGCATATCTTCAACAAAAACTTTTAAATGGTTTGTAGATAAATAACTGGATAAACTATTTGATTTGATTTCTATAAATTGAGTTTACATTCATACTCGACATTAACATTCATCAAATAACATGGATACTTAAACTTGCCAGGTACTGTCTCTGTAACTACAATGCCCTGAGAAGGGAGGTATTTCAGGAATATAGTAGAGACTACATGTTGCGTTCAGCCCAAATCTGCAGGTGCATGTCTTCCTCAACGGCCAGGGTGTTCTCATTGTGAGCAAGCAAGCCCTTTCTGACAGTTCACATTACAATGTATCTTTTTAAATTTTTTTTTCTCAAGGACAGAAGAAAAAATATTTAACAGTAATCAGTCCTCTACTATTCTACCACTTGCTGAAATTAACAGTTCCCTTTACATAAATATACAATTTATCCAACCAAATATATTTTATATTTACTCTCACTTCATGTTAATTTTTCTAAAGGTTAAAAAAAAACAAAATACTTTGTGATGATTTTCCACTCCAGTGGCACAAAATTTTCTGGTGCAAAATCGATTTGATCTTATTAATTAGTATAGTCATTACGATTATTTATTTTTCACCAACTTGCTTAAGAGGTACATGCTTTCTTTCTTAAGGTAGAGTTTTGACAGAAAGACTCTTAATGCTGAACTTTAAACAAGAGGAACCAGAAATGTCATAAAATTTACCAGGGCTAGACACACACACGGGGTGCCCCCACACATTCATAGGATTGCGCAAGCCCCCAAACCTTGGCTTACCCAGGAAGCCAAACCCAGACAGCCGTCTTGCAATTGCAAACACTGCCCCCCTGGAGCAAAAGGTAAACACACAAATGCGCCCCTAAGGAACTTTAAGTTAGCTGCAGTGCAAGAACGGAAAAAGCTCCGTGCTATTAGAAACTGAAAGCAATCACTTACTTTTTGCAGCCACTGAGTATAATTTTCCATCACATGTTCCAGATGTTGAAGTTTCTGGGAAGAGAAATCCGGTTCCACGTGTGGAGCATCTCTCTGCAGAGCGTTTGTATTGTACTGGTCTGTCGTACTCTCACGACAGTTCCCATCGTGTTCTGGAAGAATGAAAGTATAGGCACATTGCCCATGTTGAATCCGGTTATATCTTCTCCCACTGTTTTCTGGACTTCGGCGCTGGTTGCTGCACCCTGTGTGAGTCAGAATGGCAGCGAGGAAAGCAAAGGAAAGGAAAACTGTCATTGTACTGCCAGCACTCTCCTTCTGTGCCTCTCGCAAAACTTGCTCCTTTCTTCTGACCTCTAAACTAGTTCTTTATTTCAGGTAAAACTGCTTGTTTGTTTGACTGTCTCCCCCTCAAAGAAAGCGTTTGAAGAAGAATGATAGAAAACTAGCCATTTGTTAGCTTTGTTCTAAAATGTTAAAAAATTTTTATTTCACTGTAATGATATTTTCCTTCGTTAAAACTTGAGATATTTATTGCATAGTAGCTGAGATTTATTGTTTCCTCTCTGTGTGACCGTTCAGCGTGGAGCCTGCCTGAGTCAGCTGCGTGTACATATTCTAGACCCTTTCCTCTACCCTATCTGCTTCAGATCTGCTATTTTCTTCCAGACCTCAGTGAGTTTTATTAAGGTTGCACATCCAAGCCAAGCTGGAAGCAGGCAGCCTTTCACAAGATGACTTGACAGGAATGCGTGAGTGTGCCCCTATGCTAAGGATTGCTGATGGCTTAGGGCGGCAGGATCGTCTTACAAATTGGCTAGATGCGCATGACCTCGATCATGTATGGCCCTCCCGCCCCCTTCCGCAGACAATTGCCTTGAGCCTTTAACAGATTCATGGCAAATCAATAAATAGAGCAGTCCACCTTAATACACTTTTGGTGTGCATGCTGACCTACTAAAATACAGCCAACTAGCAGTATGTTTTTAAAGTTACTATTTAGTCGAGGGACCCTAAGAAGAAAATTGGCATGATGTCCAATGAAATTATTTTTGATAGAGAATGATAAACTCGTATCATTATTAAATGTTTTTAAAAAACATATATTCTTGACTCTGAGGAAAAATATGTAAAATAACAATTTTTACAGGGGGTATTCTTTCATCGTATTCACTTAGACTTTTAGGAGTTGAAGAAAATAATCAGAGGATCAAATTAGCAAGAAAATTAGCATCATTTGTTGCTCAAAGCAATATGTTGCACAAAGCAATATAGCATATGCATATTAAAGAGGATTATCTAAGTACTTTTTGGTATAGGGGTCTTAAATGAAACTGGTGTCCTGATCAGAATGCAACCCTTCATGTTCTGTGTATATAAACTGAGCAACTTCCCTACAAAAACAATGTGGCTACAATATAAAGCAGTGGCTTGAGAATTATTAATTCCTGTGGTATATCCTAATCCTATATTTTACAAGGATCTCTTTGGTGTCTATGGCTGTCTTTAACACTGGTGTGGAAGTTTACATAAAAACCTCCTGTGGCTGCACAGACACACCACATGAGAACAAGCATATATCAGGTGTGCTAACAGCCAGCAATGGGCTATACAGGAGATATCTCTGTGCTTCTGTGAAGGAAGAAAGAAAAATTATCAGATGATTTCCCAAAGGCAGCATATAAACTTTTGAACAAAGGGACCCGTAAATATAAAGAGGCGATAATTTTAGAATTCAGGGAATGGCTCTGAGATGTTTACTAGATGCAGAAAACATGAACTATGAGTTGGGATTTTCATTAGGAACTGGGAGGGCTTTTAGGCAACTGCAGTCATGGTGTAAAAACAGAAGCCAAAGCTGTCATCTCCATGTCCTGGAAGGAGAACAGGGCAGTGGGTGAAGGTTGGTAGTGGTTAGAGATGGGCATTTAGGGAGAATAGTTAGAGGAGAGGTCAAAACAAATTTCAGAACTAATGCGATTTACTTGGGGAGAGAAACCTTGCTGAGATTCATCAGTCCTTTCCACACTTAATAACAAATTTCTGATTGGACAGATATGGAAGCAAGTTATGCCAAACACGGCAATAAAATATTTGAACCACTTTTGCAGCCTCTTGAACTTTTGCATGTCTCCTCATTGAGTCATGTATCACTCCTGTGCAACAATAATAATGGCATGCATTAAGACCTTCCTGTTTTCCAGGCGAAGCACTCCTTACGCACTATCTCCTTTAATCATTCCAACAAACCTAAGATCATGGATAGAATGTTTAACCCCAATTGATCAATGGGAAAACTGAGTCACAGAAAGGCTAACAGGATGTAATTCACAGAGCTGGCAAGTGATGGCGCCAGTATGTGAACTCAGGCAAACTGACTCAGCCTGTTTCAAACCACCAGGCCAGCCTGCTTTTGGAAATCTCTGTAAGGAATAAAAACAATTTCAAAAGTGCTCCAGCTGCATTGATTTACAGTTCTAAAGCAGGAGAAGTGACGTACCTAGAAGAAAAAGGACTGTAAAAACCAGAGTATCTCTCCAAAGTGATTAAGGCGTTTTCTAGCGTGCGCGCGCGCGCACACACACACACACACACACACACAGACAGAGTGACAGGTAACCTATGCACAGCCACAAAGATGAAGTGCACTGGCAAAATGCAGGTTGTCTAAGAACATTTTCCAATAATGCTTGATTTGAAAATTATCCATGGAAAGAAGACAGTCCAAACCTGAGACCTAGAAGTGTTTTGTGAAGAACTAAATACAGTAGAAAATTGGCAGAAGACTAATGGATGAGTGGTGAGGTTTCCATTAAATTGCTCCTGTGTTTTTAAACAGCTGAGACTATTAAAAATCTGTTCCTCCACGTGTGTGTCTCTGTGTGTCTATGTGTCCATATCCATGTGAATTTTCGCAATTAGAATAAATGAAAAGCAAGAATGCACAATTTCCTGAGGGAAAAGTAGACAACTAAGAAAGGGAAGCCTGAAATGCAAACAAAAAAGGAGGGGTCAGGGGACAAAGAGACAGAGAAAAATGTAGAGACTGATTTATTTCTTTTCCAGAAAAACAAAATCAACCACAAACCATTCTAGTATTATTCTGAAAAAAATGTCTGAAGATGAATTTTAAGCAATGAGAAAACCCAAGGATGTACAGAATTGACTCCTGTGTTTTTGGAACTCCAGTTAAGGAGACTGTAGGCACATTTAAGGATACTTACACACTGAAGATAATATGTTTTGGGGATCATGCATCTAGGCAACAGCAACACTGTTGTTTGTGGTTGATTATTCAGAAATGGGGCACAATTCAGGATGTATTAAAATTTAGAGAGTAGGGCCGGATGCAATGGCTCATGCCTGTATTTCCAACAATTTGCGAGGCCGAAGTGGGAGGATCGTTGGAGCCTAGCATTTTGAGCACAGCCTGGGCAGCATAGGGTGACCCTCCCTGTCTCTACCCAAAATAAAATAAAATAAAAATTAGTCAGGTATGGTGGCATGGCCAGCACCTGTGGTCCCAGCTACTCAGGAAACTGAGGTGGGAGAATCACTTGAGCCCAGAAGGTTGAGGCTGCAGTGAGCCGTGATTGCCACTGCACTCCAGCCTGGATGACAGAGTGAGACCCTTTTTAAATAATAATAATAATAATAATAGGTGAATAATAAGAACAAGCCAATTAAAATTCATCTACCAAACCTCCATGAAGGGTAAAATATTTCTAAAGTACTAAACAATTATATTCAATTGAATTCTGTAGTAGCTTGAACCCAAAACTTGGTGTTTTATTAGAACTCTGGAATAAGGAAGTGTAGGCTTTAAGGTTTTGATCTCATATCTACAAAGAGTCCTGGTAAATGTCCCACTCATTCCGAAAATTCCAAAGGGACCGAGAGCCATTTATACCAGAACTTCATGTGCCTAAATCTGTCCTAAGAACCAGTTTTTGATAATTCTTTGGTAAAGCTTTCTTAATTTCTCCAGGTCCAATAAATGGCTCTCTGTGTTAAATTTCAATAACCTCCTCTTCGTGTCTCCAAAACTGCACTGCTCACGTTGCTTGCTAATTGTTGCCTTTTTTTTTTTATCTGTCTCTTCCTTTTGCTGTGAGCTGCTAAAGTGATCTTCTCTTTGTCATCACTGATTCCTCAACATTCACTATGCGCTTTGTTTCAGAGAATGAAAGAATAAGCAAATAAATGAATGAACTGATTAATGACTCAATTGGTGCAACTTCCTGACTCTCTATCTGGTTACTACATGACTGTCCACATTCATTGCATTTGTTGGGTGAGTTTGCCTAGAATCCCTAGGCATAAAGAACTGAGGATAAAGCCAAACTTATTCTAAAGAATCAGTTAGGCATAAGAGCAAAGTGCAATAATAATTCATAGTATTATTTAACCGTTAACAAATAATTTTCTCATCTAATGTTTACAGAACCCCCATAATTGCGTAATATTATATACTATTGTTCCCATTTTGCTGATGAGAAATGTGGAGCCATAAAGGTTAATTGCCCAGGATCTATGATATCTTAGGAGGCGGAACAGGAATTTGACACTCAATCCATCTAATTCTGAGGCTCACCTTCATTTCCCACTGAGCTATATTGTTTATGACAATACTTCAATATTGAGAAAATATTTCTTAGAATTTAGGGGACAGGAACAACATGGTGACTTCCCCCCTTCAGATGTCCCTTTCCTCTGAAACCCAGGGCTTTCACAGATTCATGTTATGATCTTCCAAAACAGGGATAATATTAAACCAGGATGTACCAGTAGGATTAGATATGCTTACCAACAGCCAATCTGATTAATCGGGTTATACTTTAGAAATATTCTACATGGTTGGTCCTATACCATGTCATCTGTTAAATATCTTGATCATCACTCAAGGTCTACAGTAAAATCAAAATATATGAAAAAAAATAGTATTTATTTCTCAAAAATACCACCAGGCAATGAGATTCAAGGAAACACTCCTCTGGTCTTTATACAACCACTTATAAGGGAAAAGGAGGTGGGAAAGTATTCTCCTACTTTGTGTTCTGAACACAATGTGGTTCAGCACAGCAAGGGTCCCATATTCTATGGGTCTGCTTAGGCACTTTTAGGGATCAAGACTATCATCAGGGCTATAGAAGTGGCAGCTCTATCTAAAAGGAGGGAAGGCTCTTGGCTGTAGTTCCTGGAAGCAGAGCCAAGACTCCTTCACTCAACTATGTAGGCAGCAAAGGTATCCACAACAGATGGAAATATCACAGGGGACAAAACCAAGAACAGAAGAAGATGGAGGATATCACCTGGTAACTGAAGGCACTTCATGAGTACATGCAAAATATCCATTTAGAACTCCCATACTAACCGGGAGGATGTTACAAAAAGCTGGAATCACTGCAGCAAGTGGGATGAAGACAGGAGGCATATAGATAAGTGAGGAAAATAAAAATTATTATGCAAATATTCCTTTGCCTTTTGATGAGAGAAATTTCTGTTAATTGTTAGGTGTCTTGTTTGTTAAGTAGGTTTAATTTCATTTTATTTTTGAGACAGGGTCTCACTCTGTCACCCAGGCTAGAGTGTAGTGGCATGATCTCAGTTCACTGTAGCCTCTGCCTCCAAGGCTCAAGTGATCCTTCTACCTCAGCCTCCCTAGTAGCTGGGACTACAGGCATGCGCCACCATGCCTGGCTAATTTTTGTTTTTGTAGAGATGGAGTTTCACCATGTTCCCCAGGCTGGTCTCAAATTCCTGGAATCAAGCAAACTACCAGCCTCGGCCTCCC